TGGATATGAAGAGATGAGACCCTGGCTCAGGTGGCTGCCAGCAACAGAGAGAGGAAGGAAAGGACAGCAGATAGAACCTTCAACAGCACTGAGATAAGAGTTTCTTCATCTGTGAAATAAGCGCTCCTCTGACAAAAAAAGAAAAATTGTAGGTAAACACAATACTTGGAACCTCCCACAACCACATCAAAATTATAACTTAACTACAGAACAACCATTATTGAGAACCACCTGAAATCTAACTGAACAGAATTCCTATAAATAAGGATATAAAGAAGAAGCCATTTTGAGCCTGGTAGGATTGTCAGAGACATGGAACAGGCTGGTCCCACACCCACATGTAATGGTTAAAAATTGGGAGGAATATCTCGGCAGTGGAGGTTCCCCCTGAGGAGTGATTGGTCCCAGCCCCATACCTTACCCCCTAGACCAGGGGTCCTCAAACTACGGCCCGCGGGCCACATGCAAATACAAATATTGTATTTGTTCCCGTTTTGTTTTTTTACTTCAAAATAAGATATGTGCAGTGTGCATAGGAATTTGTTCATAGTTTTTTTTTAAACTATAGTCCGGCCCTCCTACAGTCTGAGGGACAGTGAACTGGCCTCCTGTTTAAAAAGTTTCAGGACCCCTGCCCTAGACCAGGGTTCCAGTGCTGGGAAGAGAAGTCCCCATAACTTCTGACTGTGAAAACCAGTGGGGATTGTGGATGAGTGAAACAAAGGGCTGCTGGAGTCCCAGGTGTTCCTCTTAAAGAGTCCACACATGAACTTACTTGAAATCACTCACTCTGACCTCCAGTGCTGGGGCAGCAGCTTGAAAGGTGCCAGGGACATACAGGGAAGAATTAAATTGCTTAGCATCAGAATGAGAGCTGGAGGGGCAGCTTTCTCCCAGGTGTCTCTAGCAGAGGTCATTGTTCCCTTCCTAAGCCCTCCCCTATCCCTGGAGTTAGCAGGTAGACACCAATCTGACCAATATGTCTTTATCAACCTGGCTAACACACTTTGCCCCACCCTGAGACTTCCACCCACCCAGCTTACAGGCCTATCCAACCTGTTTCCAGTGGTTTTTCCATACAAACAGCCTGTCTTGGCTCAAGCTGCCAACTTTCCTAAAACCTCTCAATCAACTGGCATCTGGCTTCTGCATACAGTGTACTTTCTTGCTAAGTGGCCCCAAGCCTGGCACAAGTAGCAGGCATCTGCAGATCGCTTTGTAGCTCATGCTTGGTGGCCACAGGCAGGCCACAAGTGGCAGCTGACCTTGGCCTGCACCTCCCAGGAAGCCCCAATGCCAGCACACCTGGTAAACGGCTTCAGACCATGCCAAAGCATCACCCACCACCTCCATGAGTGACACACTCAGAGGTGGACTTAGCAGGTACCTGAGCCCCTCTTTTTTTTTAAAAGTATATTTTATTGATTTTTTACAGAGAGGAAGGGAGAGGGATAGAGAGTTAGAAACATTGATGAGAGAGAAACATCGATCAGTTGCCTCCTGCACACCCCCTATTGGAGATGTGCCCGCAACCAAGGTACATGCCCTTGACTGGAATCAAACCTGGGACCCTTCAGTCCACAGGCCAACACTCTATCCACTGAGCCAAACTGGTCAGGGCTACCTGAGTCCCTCTTAAGGGAGTTATGCTCCTTGGGGTCAGCAAATGCTTCATGGTGGTCATGGCCAGTCCTTGCAGCCAATCAGCCTGGATAAATCCCTCCCATTGAGGTGCCAAAAGCAATCAAGGCTTAACTACAATAGGAGGGTGCACACAGCCCACATGGGGGCATACTTTGAGCACCCAACTTGGGTAACTGGGAAGGCTGTGCCATTGGGCCCTACAGGAAACCTACTATATAAGGCGATTCTACCAAATCTGGGAGATATAGCAGCTCTATCTAATACATGGGACCAAACACAGGGAGGCAGATAAAATAAGAAGATAAAGAAACATATCCCAAATGAAAGAACAGGACAAAACTCCAGAAAAAGAATTAAACAAAAAGGAGGCAAATAATCTATTAGATGCAGAGTTTAAACTGTTGGTTAAAAGGATGCACAATGAATTTAGGGGAAGAATAGAGGACCTGAGTGAGAACTTCAACAAAGAGATAGGAACAACTTCAAGTGTACCAACATTCCCATCATGAGTATTAATCCTAAGAAATCTAAAACACTAAATCAAAATTCCCTCTTCCCAACTGGCAATGGCAGAAGCAGACACAGCCTGTTGGCCTTAGGTACGTGTGTGGGTGTGAGTGTGTCACTGCTGGTGAGCTGGAGTGATGTGGCAGGGAGGGAAGCCGGGAATGTAACCTTTTCAAAACAAAATTAAATATTTTGAGACTAAATAAATAAATAATAAAATAAAACACTAAATTGAAAAGACATATGCATTCATATGTTCATTGCAGCATTATTTACAACTAGTGGCCCGGTGCACAAAATTAGTGCTTGGAGGGGGGGGTTCCCTCAGCCCAGCCTGCACCCTCTCCAATCGGGGACCCCTTGGGGCATGTCCGACTGCCAGTTAAACTGGCAGTTGGACATCCTTCTCGAAATCTGGGACCGCTGGCTCCTAACCACTCACCTGCCTGCCTGCCTGATCACCCCTAACCTCTCTCCCTGCCTGCCTGATTGCCTCTAACTGCCCTCCCCTGCCAGCCTGATCTTACCCCCTACTGCTCTCCCCTGCCGGTCTAATCGCCCCTAACTGCCTCTGCCTGCCTGATCACCCCTAACTGCTCTTTCCTGCCAGCCTGATCTCACCAACTGCCCTCCCCTGCCAGCCGATTTGGTTCCAATTGGTTGGGTTCTATGCCAGTCAGTGTCAAAAGCTTCGCCTCCTAGGCAGCCATTGGATCCTCACAGTTCACCCAGATTTGGTTCTGATTGGTTGGTTTCTATGCCAGTCAGTGTCTGCGGGCCTATCTCTGGGCCTGATCAGAGAGGCAGGGCTGATCAGCAGTGCCCCCCTCCATGCCCCCCACTGTGGAGGCCCGGAGAGAAACAGAGGCTTGGCTGCTGGCGAAGCCCAGAGAGAAAGAGCGAGGCAACAGCTAATCGACAGCTGCCACAGAGGCTGCGGATCAGACCCTGCCTCTCTCTGCAGGCCTTATCCGCAGTCCCCTTGGTAGTCAGTGCTGGGTCGCCACGGCAACCCAGCACTGACTGCAGGACTGACTTGGGGTGTTCAGTGGAGCCTCCGGTCAGTCATTACGGACCCTGGGTTTTTATATATTAGGAGAGCCAAGATATGGAAGCAACTTAAGTGTCCATCAATAGATGAGTGGATAAAGAAGTGGGGCATATATACAATGGAATATGATGCAGCCATAAAAAGAAATGAAATTTTGCCATCTGTAGCAGCATGGATGGACCTAACTAGAGGGTATTGTAATGAGTGCAATAAGTCAGACAGAAAATGACAAATGTCAGATGATTTAACTTATATGTGGAAACTAAAAACAAAACAAACAAGCAGGACAGAAAAAGAATCATAGATATATAAAACATTTTGAAGGTTGCCAGATGGGGGAGGGTGGGTTGATGGGACGGGTGAAAAAAGTGAAGGAATTTAGAAGTACAAATTAGTACAGCATAAGGAATATAGTCAATAATATTGTAATAACTATATATGGTGTCAGATGGGTACCAGATTTATTGGGGTGATCACTTCATAACTTACATAAATGCCTAATCACAGGGTTGTACACATGAAACTAATATAATATTGCATGTCAACTGCAATTTAAAAAGAATAATTGTGTTAGAAGCGCTGGTCAACAGTTTCACAGGAATGAGACAAACACTCAAAAGTGGATTGGCAAGGCAGATTTACTTCTTCAGAAGGGTTCAGTTGCAGGCTGAAAATCATGGGCAAGGCACCCCAAACGGGAAGTCTCTCCGGGAAGAGGAAGGGGCGGGTGAGGCGGAGCCTAAGATGGCGACCCCCTGAGAATCTGAAGGTCAAATCAAAATGGCGGAACCCAGGACAGCGGGGAACTCCTTTCTTTGACAGAAAAGATCGCTGGTTCACTCTCACAATTGGAAAATACAAAAAAGGTAGAAATTAGAAAATCATTGTGATTTCTATTATTTTAATGTAACTATGTGATGATTTTTGGTTATATGTCCTTTCTGTCTTTTTTTTTTAAAGTTCAGTTTCTATTCTTATGTTCAGGTAGAGCAACTTCCTTGGTCCTATTTGCTTCCTCACCCTTTCTAGAAACTCACGTTCCTGTTTCTGTTTCTGTTTCTTGGCGCCACAAGTGATTCTGGCTTAGGTCATCCTGGGGGCATCTGAGCACGGGGCCTGGTGAGGGGCTTTCATTCCATCTTGGCGTCCGGGGGACTAGGCATCCCTGAGCTTCTGAAAGCAGTTCCACTCGAGAAACACTGCGAAGTATCCCCGCGTCGCCGGAGTAAGTGGCCAACCTTCCCAGAGGGCTCCCTGGACAAGCACCGCCTCCTCTGAATATCGGCTGATCCGCCAGGCCTGTCAGGGCTCCAGGCGCCCC